TTTGTGAATAAAGAGGGCCTCAAGACACATCTTTCAAGTTTTGCCACATATTCAAAACTGGATTAGAGGTTGGACTAAAACTTGGTCATGCTATCACAGCCCTTAGCATTTTTCACATTCTAACAGGTTTTAGATTGATTGATTGATTGATTGATTCAATGATTTAATTTATTTATTTATTTATTTTTGTTTTTGTTTTTTTTTGTTTTAAAAAAAAAAAAAATGATTTAATTTAATGATCTCACACTGGAGAAATTTACTTGTCACATCGTCTCAATAGTCAAAAAGAAGGTGTCAAAAGAATTAAAAAGGTGTATCATATAGTATATACAGTGCATCCACATATATAAGAGATTAAAGTCTCTTATTTAAAAATATATTGCAGTTATTGCACATGGGTATTTATATAAATAGGTATTTATATATATAGTTATTGCACTGGTTACTAAATATAAACAGTTATTGCACAGGATATTAAATGGTGATTGCACATTAGTTATTGCACAAGTTATTGCAGTTATAGTACCAGATTGTAAAGTCTAAGCTCTATCCATCTTCTCATTACCTCTGACTTGCTTCCATGTCTCTGTTGGATGCATTGCATGTTTTCAGTACTAAAATAAGGCTTTGTTGGGCTACTGTATAAAACCTTGAACTCAATGCTATTCCTGACATTTTGAATTGAAAAAAGCTTCCTGGATCGAAACGTCTTCAAACTTGGAAACCAAGTCCAGTGGATTGTTTTTAATATTTTTTGGAATGATTATGACCTGGATGACTGAGAACCTTCACCAGCACATCTCTATGGATAATAAAGCAGTGCCACAGCATAATACTTCAGTCTTATTAAAAATTGGATTATAAGCATAACACCCATTATTTTTTTAAATATAAAACAGAATGTTGAATAATTGTTTTTTTTTTTTTTTCTTTACCAGAGAATCTTCCAAATTTCTGCTATTCCCTATTGCTTAAAGCAAACCCTTAAAGATTTCTTCCTTCTCGCCTCTTCTAAGAAGGTCAGAGTGGTATCAGTTGAGCAGAGCTCCAAGCGATGATGTTCAATGCTTTGGATATTGTATTATAATCCAACGCTGTTTTAAACTTTTCCAAAACCTTATTCCACTCCGTTCCTTGGTCTTCTTGATGATTTCTGTTCATTAATACCCTCTAAAATCTGACAAGGGTTGCAGAACTGGACAGCTGAATTAATTCAAGAAATAATTTGCGAACTGGAAATAACTTTATCAACTGTATACGAATAAGCTCCCGATATTACTAAGAGGTGTTGAATACAATATATAAGGTAGTTTATAAGATTTTTATTAGATTAGGAAAAGCATCTATCATAGTCTTTCCTCCTCACATTTATACTACATTTTTTTTTTAAGTCAAAATAAGATTGGCAAATTTTTTTCTTTAAATAGGCATTATCTTTTTAAGTTTAAAAAAGTCATTTATTAATTCAAAGGACTTTAACTTTCCTTATTTAAGAAGAGCAATAAGTAGAAGGACTGATTCAGTCAAACACTGAAGGATTACTAAGTCATCTGACAGTGTTTTCACTCTTTTTTTCTTGACTCCAATCTTTCCACAGACTGCAGTTAGTTGCTCTGTAACACATCAGTCTCTGACTTCCCCATGCCTCCAAACCCACTCTCATCCATATGACCTTACGCTCACCGGTCAGAGGTTAAGGCCTTATCAGAGATGTTTATGAAGAGAGTCTGGGGGTCAAGGGCTCTGTTTGTCTCTGCGGTGGCGAAAGAGGAAACAAGGGATAGGATTCCGGCACTAAATGAAAGACGAGATCGGACTTGAAAGGCGGGGTTATCTGCTCCTCTGCGAAACAAATCGATCCATTTGTGCATTCGTTGGGGTAAAAGGGTTCATTGGCCAGACTCCTGGCAGAAGTGCTGAGGAAGCGGCTGCATCATGTTGTAGGCCTCAGCAAGTGTTTCTGAAGACAGCACCTAAAATATCGTTTTAATATTGTGGTTCATATTACTGAATAAATATATAAATTAATACAATGATGATTAACATTTAAAGGAGAATTTAAAATAATAAACTGAAACATTCAATTGGTGAAATACAGGCATCTTTCAACAAAAGTGGGTTAGTGCTGCCCTCTTGTGGCATTAGAATTGCAAAGCTTCAGCTTATAGATTTAAACAGAATTTAAAGGGAAATATATTAGTGATAAACTTTTATAGATTTTCTATAAACATGATTTGATAACATCAATCATCTAATCAGGATTATGTCTATACATATATGTTATGTAGGAAAAAAACACCTGGCACATGTAGACAAACGCTCTAGATTGTGATTCCTTTAGCCTTGTTTGAAAAGGTATGACTGGACACATAAAAACAAAGCTTACTCAAACTTGTAATAGTCTGTAGACAATGAGTAAAGAACATCACAGGCTTTAATAATTGCAACTATATTGTCAATTTATTTAAAATAAAACAACTAGTAGGGCTTACAATAAAACAGATTCAGTATACAATAGAAATGTATTAAAAGGTTTATCTATTTCACTGTATAGATGCATTAGTGCGGTCGCTGACAGCTGCAAATGAACTTGCAGCAAATTCAAAAAGTACTGGAAACACAAAACACGAGAATAACAAACATAAAAATGAGTCCAACGAACAAAAACTGACAACACAAAATACATTAAACAAAAAAAATGCTGCATTCACAGAAAATAGAGAAAAGCAAAGTGAACACACACTGCAAATACATAAATGCTTCAAATACATCTGTATCTGTCTAATGTGCAATGGACGACACTGTGAGGGGGAGACGATCACCATCCCCTTAATAAATAACCAGACCCTTAATAAAGGCACTAAAGGCTAATAGAGATAGAGTGTTTTAAAAAGAAAAATATCTTTTCTTCCCACAAAATCACCTCTGGGTTGAATTTTTGTTTGTTTTTTTTTTATCTATCCATATATCTATTTTATATCTATATACATATATAGATATATATATTACTTTGTAGTAATGAGTTGATGATCGTCTCTCCTTTCTGATCTGGAGCACTTCTGTAATGCAGAGGTCATTTGCAGCTTTCTTGAATCTGTCTTACCATGTTTATGTATTTGCAGCTTTCTGCACCTTGCTGCTCACTATTTTCTGTGATTATTGCAACTCTCTTTTGCAGCAATTTCTTTGCATGCTTTTTTGTGTTTGTCTTAATGCTAGTCTCATTTTTGTGTCTGCAAGCGTTGTTTTTGCAGCTTTTGTGCTTTTTTATTCGCTTTTCATTTACACATTTGCAGCAAATGTAGGCCCCTCTGCAACAGCACTATAGACACAAAGAGATGCATTTCGGATGGTGTGCAATGATAAATTAATAAGTAAGATTTCTAATTCAAGGCTGCTGAACTCATAGCTGTCTTGCAGACCACTACGTTTCGCATGGAGATTAAGCCACAGGGTTAAAAAAAAAAAAGCTAGCTGTTCAATCTACACATGATAATGGAAAGTTGAATGAAAGGAAGAAATGTGCCCATTCGATAATATCGTCAAGATTCACATGATCTTGTCAGCAGCTGCAGAATTAAGAGCCACAAGACACAAAAGTCCACTGTGCTGTGTTACAAAATATGTTACATTCTTTCTATGAAGCTTCTCCTGATCTAAAGAAACGTCAGCATCATTTTACCAGAACTAAAGCAGACATCGACCAGCAGGCATTAAGAGTTCCTTGTGCTGTGGTCAGTTGATAAGTTTTATGGTGACACTGATTTATTTCTCCACTAAGTGCCAAAAGCACATACGTATTATGTACAGTACTGGGGAAGAAACACCGCTCATTTGTCTAATGTAAGATTCAGATAATAAGGAAACACTATGTGGGTTTTATTAGCTGCAAGTCAAAATTCTCAAAAGTAACAATTCCATTCTTCAATATCACACATTGTGTGATGTGATCGGATATAAATAATCTTAATTTAATAAGAAGTATTTTTTTAAGATAATGTACTGTTATTGACTTTGACAGCAGCTGGTCAAATGCAGATGGGAGAATGCTTTTGTTTCCTTAGGAACTGAAAAGGGAATACAAAATAAGAACTGGCAGAACTCTTCTTTTCAGTCTTCTTTGTCGGATCATTTATTTCAGATAAAGCAACAAGAGGGGTGTGCAACAATAGTATATGCAAAAACATTGAAATCCACACGATTCCCTATCCATTCAGATTCTCTCTCATAATGTATGTACACACACACACACACAAGCACCCACACACACACACAAACACACACACACACACACTTAAGCTGTCAATGAAACTTCAGTGCTGTTTCTACGTTAATATGGCTGTTAAACAATGAAACATTAATCTTGAATTCGCTGAATTTCAGATAAACAACAAACATCATTTTATAAATTTTATAAATAAAAAAATGGGCTTAATAACACACAAACTGATACAGTAATAACCTGAGGAGAATATGTTTGACTGTGGCATACAGGAATGCTTTGTATTTACAACGGTGTCTGCAGCATCCAAAGGGGATTTGGAAAGTGAAAATTGTGTGTAAGCAGTGGTAAGACCCATCATTTTTAAAATTATAAGGTGTGAAAAGTTATATCATTGTGAGGTTATATGCTTGAACTGTGTAGCACTGAAAGAGAAAGAAAATTAAAAGGGGGAAAAAAAAGGAAATGCAGACACTTAAAATTCAATAGCACCAAACAGCCCTCTGAAGATAACACCAGTTAAACTTTTGAGGGGGTTTCAGCTCAGTGCAGTGGTAAACCGGGCTCCATTCTTTAGAAACACGGTGTGTGCTGCAACTTGGAGGGGGAAAAAAGCATTTAAAAAAGCCCCTTGGTCTCTGATTTCTTTGCAAAGTCCAGTCGCTGATTTTTTTGCGACCCACACCTCTTGATCCTCTCATTTTGCACATGAACACACAGGAAAATAGCACCATTAGAACAGGGAGTTTAGCTAAGTTGATGATGTTGATGCATGTTCTTTTTTCTGTTTATGTCTTAAAATGGAGAAAAGCCTTTGGTGTTAAGTGAATGTCCTCTTCATGCAGACTTGACAGCGGCTTATGTGTGTCCGGAGGCTGCCTGCTTTGAGTGTCGTTGGCTCAGGTTTCCTAGAGGAGAAAATAGAACAATTACCACAGGTCAGCATCATAGGTACTATAGCTAAGGGTAAAGCCTAACAGTTTCAAAATCTTAAACTTAATCTCTATTCCATTTCAGCAGCAACTATGTAATAGCTCCCTCTACATCTAGGAGAAGCACACAGGCATGCTCACACCTGCAAAAACAGATGTTTGGATTCAGGTGATTGCACATACTTAATACATACATATAGATATACTTTGCTTAGAGCTGTGTTTGCCCCTATAAGTACATTGTGTATTAATTAGAACAGTTTACTTTTCATTATTGACTTCCTGTTAAATCCAGAATGGAATTTAAAATTCTCCTTCTCACATTTACTGTAAAGCCTTAAATGGCCAAGCTCCATATTATATCAGAGATACGATTGTTCCTTATGTTCCTAACAGAGCACATTGCTCTCAATCTGCAGGTTTACTAGTGGTTCCTAGAAGTTTTAAAATAGAATGGGAGGCAGATCTTTTAGTTAACAGGCTCCTCTCCTGTGGAACCAACTACCAGTTTTA